ACCGGAGGCTGATCGGTTCACCTTTCACCGGTCTGTCCGGTAACCCGGGGGGCGAATTTTGCGGGGGACTGTATTGGGGCCGGCTCCGAAGGCCCTGCAAGAACTGGCGCAGAAAGAGAAGTGAACGGCTGAATCTCAGCTCCTCCGCCGGAAGATCAGGCTTAGACACCTCTATTCCTGGCTCTTTGCCCGTCTCCCCGACGCCATTGGTATTATCGCGAGGTGTGGATTTTAGACTGGACGCCGCAGACTTCAACTGTTCAACGCAGCGGTCCACCAGGGCAATGTGCGTAGCCTCGACTGCCGATCGGGGTGACCGGTGGATGATGTTATGATCCAAGTAGACCTCAATGGCAAAGTTGGTTGCGTCGGTTTCAATGGAGCCTGGGGGGGCCGCCAGGATCAAACGCCATATGCGGTCTATGCCCGGAATCGAAACCACCTCATTCTCCCCCGCAATGGGTGGGGGGTTGAAGCGAACTTCGTAGCTGATGGTGTGCTTCGCAAACAGAAGTATCTCGGGGAAGCAGCCCTCGCTGGGCGAGAGCCCGGGAAGGTACTCGTGAATGCAGCGCTCGATGAACGGGTTGGGCTTGGTGCTTTGTCTCGTGAGACTAGAGAGCATGTCCCAAAAGGCGCGTCTCCCCTGCTGCGAAAGTTTTTTGGACATGAACACCTCCTGCCACAGCAAGTCGGCAAGATCGGGGGTAATGAGCTCTGCGACCTGGTCAATAATGCGGTTCAGCAAATTGATGCGCGAAACGAAGGCGGTCTTTGCAAATGAGTCTTGAAGAAAGTCGGTGCCGTTCTCGTCCACCGCACGGACGATGTTGTTGAACACCAGGCGGATCAAATCGAACTCGGTGGCCAGCTGGTGGATCTCGCGGGAATCGTAACTGGGGAGAAGGGCGCCCAGCGCCTGGATACTTCCCACCGCAAACTGATTCATCTCGGCGATGTCCTGGATGCATCTTTCATACGTCTCCGTTTTATCTGCGTCACTGAGGCCGACATCCATAAACGAGCGCAGCTGGGAGCTTGCAAACTTCTGCAACAGCGCCTTGTGCTCCACGGAGAAATCTTCGGCCGCCGCGCTCTCGCGGATAAGACGTACACACACGCGCAGCGGAATGACATCCACATGCGGCGTGTCCAATAATGGGTGCCTTTCCGTATGCTTTTCGCGTATGTGATGGAGCAGCTGTTCGCAAAACTCCACCATCCGTGCATCAAAGCGAGCCAACGGGAGATCGAGCAGCTTCGAGCACAGATAAATCAGCGCCGGAGAGACGGAGAGATGCATGTGGAATGTTCGAATGAGCATTCCCAAGATCTCTGATACGGTTCTTGGATCCGGGCTCTCCTTCGCGGCCGTCCAGATGGTATCCGTGTCTGAATCAGCGTACGTGCCGGTAACAATCAAGAAGCCGACGATGTTTCCGCTTCTACTGATCAATTGAGGATGAGAGTCGATTCCAACCAAATACTCAACGATCTGATTTTCTCTCAAAAATCCCACGAGGTACTGGACAACGGGATTCTCTATCCCCATCGGATCATGTTGGATATACCGCCTCCACACCGAAACAAGGCTCGATTGCATGGCCTCGACCCCTTGAACCCGAAGCTCCATACGACCGTCCATGATGTGCTTTTTCAGGGCCGCAAACTTCCAGGCATAATGTATGATAAAAGCGCGATCCTCGGTCGTTGCAGTTTCAGGAACGTCGGTTTCAAGATTCTTGGCCATCTGCTGCGCGATGGCAGGGATTCGCAAAGAGGCAGTGAGATACACGCCCGCAATGTGTTGGAGCAACGAGTCGCTAATATCACTAGTTACCCAAGGGGATTTCTTAGTGATTCCGTCTTGGTACTTTTCGTCTACGGACTGGATCGTACTGTGGGCCGCTTGAAGGATACGCACGTAGGCGCTAGAGTAAATGACAGCATCGTCTGCTCCGAACTTCCGGCGCTCGTTCCCCGATTCGACAAGGCTATGGACGAGTGCGACGGCTGACGCCAGGGGTGATGCGAGTTGAGGCCATCGAGGAATCAAAGTCAGAATGCGCGAGGAAAATTCGGACATGCGCTGCACGTAGTCGAGAGGAGGGGAAGCAATCTGGTCGCTGATACGCGCTACCATGTTCGGAACCTCTGCGCCATAGGTTCTTTCCATAGTACGGTAGAGAGGGATAGTGTTGATCTGTACCATCCAACACAATGCCGACACATAGGACCTTGATATCAATTCTGTCGCCACGCGGAGCTCCGTGTCTTCAATGAATTGGTCCAGCACCAGTGCGTCCATTGCGATCAAATGAAGCGCGAGACGAGCAAAGCTCAGGAAAAACTCTTCCAGACAGACCCAGGGCCCTTGGCCTTCATCGGCGGGAAGATCTTGTCTATAAATCGGGGTGTTATCAAAGAAGCTCCGTAGCTAAGAAAAGAGTAAATGCAACCGTTCACTCACACTCTGCGTAACAAGCTTTCCACCAGGTTAGGAAGCTCCTCCCAAAAGTCACGATCCACCATTAAGACCTCGTAGGTCAACTGATCCAGATTGGTCGCAACGTCGTCGAGCCAAGCCTTTGCCGCCAGAAAAACAGTCACGTTGTGTGGAGGCCCTGCGAGATTGTTTAGTTAGATGAATCCAATGCTACCGGGGACTTTCAACATTTTGGTTCCCTTACCCTTCTCGATGATCGTACACATTTCCTCCAAGTTATCGCGAATGTCATGGTCAGGACGGAGTTTAGGGAAGGTCTCCGTCAACGGAGGTTGCTCCTGTAGCTGTACAACGTCCCCCTCCCCCAGCGCCTCTCCTAGCGACTTCCAGTTTGACGTGTTGGGGTCCTGGTCCATATCCTCCAACTCCGCCACCTCAATTTCCGGGCTCTGAGCGGGGGACGACGATAACGAGATGGCCTTGGAGGCGTGGGTTCCGGCATCATCAGCGGTTGGCGAGGGGCCGGTCGGGTCCGGTTGGGCGGCGGGGGTATCTTCGGGGGCGGCGGAGACGAAGGCCATACCGTTGGCCGGTGCGGTAGTGGTGGTTGGGGATTTTACGTTGATCGTGACCCTGCTGGCCGGGCGGGCTGACGCCAGAGCTTCGCGATCGGTGGCAGCGGGAGCTTCCGACGCCTGGTCGGACATGCGAGCAGGGTCGGTCTTATCGGAAGACCAGTTCTCTCGGATGCCACTTCCACTGTCAAGACGGGGACGTTTCCGGGTAGAGTGAGGGTCGTTATCTTCCATGGGATCGCCGGGGGAACGCGTCGAGTCGGTTGATTTAACGTCAGGCGGGGTGGTGCTAAAGCTCTCTAGCGGGGCAGCGGCCATGACATTTTTTCCCTGGTCCTTTCCTCGGAGTGGACCAACTTGACAGATATCAAAGAAAGTGAATAAATAAATAAATTGAATCGCGTAGAATGGCAATAGAAAAGGGAAGGAGGGGGGCGGTTGATTGATAAATAGAGAGAGAAAAAAAAATATATGGGCGGAAAAGACGTCAGAGGCGAGGAGGATTTGTAACAAGAAATTGAAAGGGCAAGAGAGGTGTGGGTGATGAAAAAGTAAAAAGGGCAAGCAGGAGCACGAGCGATGCGGGAAGGAGCAGTGGAAGGAGCAGTGAAGAAAGGACTGTCCTCCAAGTGAGCTGAGAAGGGCGAGGAGAGAGAAAAGAGGAAGAAGGTTGTGGGGACCAGTCGGAGATCAGGAAAGGCAACTGCGACCAGAGGGCAGAGGAGCTGCAGCAGTCGGTGAGTCTGGACTCTGGACTCTACGGAGTAAGGCAAGGTTCCTGAACGGACGTGAGGGGGAAGGGAGAGTTGCCGGTTGAGCTGAGCTTTCTCCGGTCAAAAAGAAGTTCGGAAAGTGAAGCTCTGACGTTGCGGTGGAGTCGCATCCGCCCGTTGGTTGGTCCTGCTCGCTGATGCCGCGGCGCTAAACTCCCAGCCTGCTTGATGACTTCAGTGATATTCCGGTATGTATGTACTTTGGTCTTTGGTCTTTGGTCTTTGGTCTACTACGGTGTCCTGCTCAGGCACACATTGCGGGTGCTTGTTTCTTTCCCAAGGTGCTGTTTAATTGATGTTTAATTGAATATGGTTGGCCTAGGTATTCCCCGTGAATATGGATTAGAATTAGAAATAGAAATTCACATAAACCCCAGTCTGATTCATAATTATGACCACTACCCATCAATACATCTTCAACCGGAGACGGCATTGCAGGATGTCGCCATGATGCGAATTCTCCCATGCGGGAAATTCACGGGGGAAACCAGCCCAATAGGATCATCCCTCTAGCCCCGTTCAGACAATCGAGCATTAATATATCTATAGGTAGTTGGTAGTAAACAGATATGAGTACAGAAGGGATTAAGCTGCTAAGCGCCACCACTCCACAGTCCGTCCCATCTATTTCCCGCGTCCACGAAACTAGCCAGACTAGAATCATGGGAGTGCCCTAACCGACATCAATTACTTTCAACTCTTACTGCCCAGGAGTGGTGGTCATTCGGCAATGACATAATAGGCCTCACTAGTCAGTTGGATGATTTTCCCCTCAACCTTAAAACCTCCGCCCAAAACTCCACTTCAACCTTCCACGCCTTCTAGCGTGTTCGTGCCAAACCCTTGAATGCAGGATCGCTGCATTCAATCGCTGCCCGTCCTTCCATCCTGCATTTGACTAACGTGTCTTCCCGACATCCTGTGTTTGCTATTGAGAGCCTCTCTCCATCTTTACTAACAAGGGCGGTCTGGAACTGAATCCATGGAACGAGACAACAATGCGCCAAATACAGATCGCCACATCCAGGATCAGGGAAAAGATCAATGGATCTTATGTGTATATGCTAATTGGCGGATCTGACCACGGGACTTGGGTAGCATCACTTGCAAATGTGAAAGAAAAAGAGAAGAAAAGAAAAAGAAAAAAGAAAAAAACAGAGATAGTATAGTTATGTCTTCTACAGTACGTGTTACCCTCCCTTCGTATTACTCCTTCATCGCCGTGTCAATCTTGCGAAGTACCCTTGCCGGATTGCCTGCAGCCACATGAAAGGCAGGAACATCCTAGACCTTTTCGTCAGCATGCTGCATGTAAGAGTCATTTAAGAACATGTCACCCCACTACCTTGGTGACCACGCTTCCAGCCCCGATAACCGCGCCTTTACCGATCGTCACCCCGGGAAGGACCGTGACGTTGCCCCCTAGCCAGCAATCCTCGCTGATCACAACGTCCGCTCCCATCTCGGGACCCTTGGTTCCGTTGCGCAGCTCCGGGTCCAAGGGATGCGTCCCGCTATACAAGTGCACGTTGGGGCCGAACAGGGTGCGCGCTCCGATAGTCACCGGACAAGTGTCAAGGATCACACAGTTAGAGTTGATGTAAACCCCTGCGCCGACTCGCACATTGAATCCGTAATCGATTCGAACGGGGGGCTCGATCCATGGCTCCTGCTCGAAGAGGGCGTCGTCTTCGGCGGGGTCCTCCTTCGGAGGCGGCAGAGGGGCTTGATCCTCCGTAACCCTGCCGACGAGGTCATATTAGTAGACTGCACCGACAGCGGGGGATTAGGTCGAAACGAGACCGATGTGAACGGTTGGTATGGGCAAGAGACCGATGCTCTTGCTTACCCTTGTCATCGTACTCACTCTTTCCAGAGTTCGACCAGCCGCCGACGAGGGACGTCTCCCGCGTTGTTGAACCGGCGAGTAGCACGGCTACAGCGAGCCCGCGCGGCGATCAAGTCCGGGGTGAAGGCGCAGTAGAGCTCACCCCGGAGCATTTTGTCTCTCTCGCTTGGTACAGAAGGCTCGCTAGACGCCATTTTGAGCTCCGACTACCTACTTTAGAGTTGAAACGAATATGCCGATTGTCGGTCCATGTATCGAATGCGGGGAAACAACAAAGAGCGGATGAGTCAGCCGGTGGAGACCGCTTGTGGCAGAATTGTGTGGGTCTACTGAAAAAGCGATTATTCAGCCAAGGAATATGATCATATCCAAGATGAATGAAGGTCTTAATTCTTCTAACTACACAATAACTAAAGAAGCCGATATTTATGCAATCTCAGAGGCTTCAGGATCGTCATAAAATGAGCGGAATTGCATGATCTATATCGTCATAAATCATACAGTTCATATTGATCGGTTGCATGATCGGTCCGGTCAAGCAAGGCGATGATATAAGCGGTTTAGTCATCTTCCGCGGCCACACCGCGGAGGAATCCCGTGACGATCAAACAATACAATCGTCGGAGTTGATTCTTCTCCCCGCCGGTGCCTATTGTTCCTCCACACTTCGAGCTGTCTCTTGGGATCAATCGTCTGCATATTGGCAATGACACGCTCCTAGACTTCGATTCTTACTCCTTCTCCTTCCGTCTCACCCTCACCCTCACCTCTTCTCATCCCCGAACAGAAAAAAAAAAAAAAAAAAAAACATTATTCATTATTCCCCTAATCCAACAAACACCATACAACGCCAAAGAACCCCCTGTATACTTAAGACAACACTACCTCAATCCAACAATCTAACACAATGTCCTCGTCACCCGAATTCACCTCCTCATCCACCACTACCTCTCACGTCGCCGCCGATGAACCTCCAACCTGGCGCCCCCCACGACCAACAACAACAACAACAACACCACCACCAACACCACCCGCAGCCGAAAACATGACCTTTAACTCACCACCCCTCGACGTCTCCAACTACCCCGGCGGCAAAAAGTCCCTGGCTGGCATCTCCCTGCGCGCCTTTCTCATTGGAACCACCCTCGGGCTCTCAGCATCGCTGACGCTCACGCTGCGCCTCTTCTCCGCCACGCCCCTCTGGCGCGTCCCCTTCTTCCTCGCCTCGCTCTGCGTCTTCCACTTCCTCGAATACCACGTCACGGCCGCCCACAACACCCGACACGCCTCGGTCTCCGCCTTCCTCCTCTCCTCCAACGGCTGGGCCTACAACCTGGCCCACACCTCCGCCGCCCTCGAATGCCTCCTCGCATACTTCTTCTGGCCCCGCGACAGCTACTTCACCTGGTCCGGCCCCATCGCCGCCCTTGGCGGCCTCAAGATCCAGCTCGTTCTGGGCCTCCTCTTCATGGCCGTCGGCCAGACGATCCGCACGCTCGCCATGGCCCAGGCGGGGAGTAACTTCAACCACACGGTCCAGGTGGAACGCAAGCACGGACACATGCTGGTCACGCACGGCGTGTACGCTCTGCTGCGCCATCCCAGCTACTTCGGGTTCTTTTGGTGGGGACTCGGCACCCAGATGGTCCTCGGCAATGTGGTCTGCTTCGTGGGGTATTTTGTCGTCTTGTGGAAGTTCTTTCATAGTCGCATTCGGAGTATGTCGTCCCTTTTGGTCTTGTATTTGCCATAGTGAAGTCGAAGTCCGATTGGGGTGGTGGTTATATGCGCATGCTAACGATCGCGTCCAGGAGAGGAACGATTCCTGATTGCATTCTTCGGGGACGAATACGTACAGTATAAGAAGAGGTCGATGGTAGGGATCCCTGGGATATGGTGAAAAAAAATAGGTACCTAGGTCCGGATACGGGGTGCCTAGAACCTACTTATAGTATGTAAATTGAACAGACGGACATATTACCGGTCGATAATAGCTAGCTATCTAGCGTGGTCGTAGAGTCAATCAAAAAGCATGCATATACGCGGGAACTACCTATGCTTCAACGATCTACAATAAAATCACCAAATCCCTAGGTTCACTGAACTCGGAACATAGATATACTCAAAGTGCAAACCTAGTAACATTATGTACAGTGTACACGCATCAAGAACATATCCAATAAATCACACCTGGTATCAACATCACATCTTGAAAAAAATGAAGATCGCTCTAATAAATCAAATCAAATCAACAAAGCTAGTCTCTCAACTGAACCAAATCAATCAATCACTCCATACCCTTCCCAGTACTAGGAAATCCCTCCTGATCTAAAGTTTACTCTCCGGCGCCACACCCCCAACAGCACCACTCATAAACGCGCCCTGAGAATCATCCTGCCCAGACACAACTTTCGCAACGCCATCCGGACCAAAAAGCACCAATTCACGACCACCCAACGTACTCCACCACGTAACGCAGTAATGGGCCCTCTCGACGTCCATTTCGCCGCTACTTAGGGCCTCCCAGAACCGTTCGACGCAGGCGGCGCGCATTTCGGCGTCAGGGATGACGTTGATGAGGGAGGCCGTGAGAGGGAGCCATTCTTGGAGGTCTTCGACGCGGAGGAAGCAGAGGCCGTCTACCAGGGAGAGGGTGAGGGCGGCTTGTTCGGAGAGGGGAGGTGGGGGGCGCTCCATGTCGAGGGAGGCCGTTGTAGTTGAGGGGGGTTGGGGAAGAACGTCGGTGGATGCGTGGAGGGCGCGGTCGTGGAGGACTTCGAGGAGGATGGATGGGAGGAGGGGCTGCTTGTTTGCGATGGGGGATGGGGGCGCGGTGACTTGGAGGACGGTTTTGAAGGCAAGGCGGAATTGGCGGATGGAGAGGTTGTCCGGGAAGACCTGTCAGGTTGTTAGTTGTGGGTGTTGGGGGAAGGGGGCTGTGTTAGGCTTACGGCGAAGAGGTTATCGATGTAGAATGGTAGATGCGCGGCTGCTACGCTTGCGTTGCCTGGGATCGCGAATACGGCGAGAACCACGCTGTGCGCCGCTTCGAAGATCTCGAGAAGATGGTTGTTCCCGCCGGCGGGGAGGTATGGAACTGCGGCGCAAATGAGGAGGTCCTCGCTGAACTTCGGTGGGAGGATAGGGGTGAAGAGTTCAGCTGTGTTGAGGAAATACAGATCGAGACACCGCTCGAGTGGGTGGGCGGGGATTTGGCCCAGTTCATTAGGCTTGATGCTTCTCAGGAAGTTCTCGGCAAGGTCGGGGTACTGTGCGAGAATATCCACCGCGGTCAAAGTCACAAACATGTGCTGAGAAGAGGCATTCGGGCCAATGCGCGATGAGACGAAGTAGAGATTCCGGAGAATGTGGAGAGATTGCATAGACAGATACGGTGCACCTAAGCAATCAGCACCGGAGCTCGGCTCAGAGAATTAGGCATGAGATATGGGGGGGGGACTTACTTCTGTTAGCTGCCAACACATGGTCATTGAGCACCCGTCCGAGAACGGCTCGGAGCACGATCACAACGGAATACAAGCAATTCCGGAGCAGTTTCCACAGGCTCGGGATCGTGCTCTTCAGAGACTCGGCGTCCAAAAACTCGGCCTCCTCTGCTCGATCAACTTCTGACAATTTGTTCTGGCGCCACTGCACCGTCAAGGTACGGACGAAATCAGCAAGATGGTCTACAGATCGGGCCACCAGGCCTGGATCACGAACATTCTCAACTGCATGTGAAATAAGCCGAGAAAGCGGGCCCAGCGCAGACACAAGCGGACTAGATGAGATTGCGGTGACACGAGCGAAGGTGATAGAATGCTCCGGCCATTGGAATCGTTTTCCGGCCGCCTCCACAATGTCCTTGTCCACCGTTCCCAGGAAGTAACCACCCTCGAGACCCTCCGAGGACGAATAGACACTCTGTATCAGCACAGGGAGCAATCGGTCATAGTTGATCATCGTCCGTTCATAATCCGAGAGCAATTCAAAGGAATAATTGAGGACCATGGTGACGCAAAGACCCTCAATTTCATTGTCGGGATTCAATTCTTCCAGCGCCAGCTGCGCAGCCGTCACAAGTGCCATTTCCACCTTCTTTCGGACATTCCACGATAGCCCCTGTCTGTTCTGACCTTCGAAGCCCAGCAAGAGTCCCCCGATCAGCAGCACGTGTCGCCATCGCGGCGACTTGTCATCCGCTCCGCTGACAACGGCTTTCACCCACGCATCCCGCTCGATCTTCTGGGGCTTGACATAAGGGATTCTCGGGTCGTCGGATGTCTCATTCTGCACGAATGCGATGGCAGCTGTATTGAAGACGCTGAGGATCTTCCGGCAAGCGTGCAGATCGACCGCGTGATCCCAGATCGCGGGTGCAGCAAGCAACTGTGACGACAGGAGACTCAGATTTAAGGGATTCGCAAGGGTGTATAATAGACCGGTCGCCGTGGGAAGCAATCTGATAGAGGAGGGTCAGTCGAGATGGTTGAGCTGCGGTCCCCGGGGAGCTGGGCTGGTTATCTCACGCAAAGGCATCTTGAAGATCGGATGGCGACTGGAGCGACCGCAACAGGGCACCTAGAGAACGCTCGGTCGCCATCTTTAGAATGCAACGTTCAAACAAGCAACCAAACGATGGCGCATGGGAGGCGACCACAAGACTGTAGGACAGATGGAAGTCTAATAGAACGACGGACTGCCTTACCGCGGAGAACCCCAGATCACCTGCCGAGGTTAACCCGGAAAATGATAACGAGGCTGCAAACACTGCAAACAGCTAGCTAGCTCCTCCATTCCAATGCCTCAACTCTGGCTGGACTTGACATTCATCCAGCACTGCACTTTATTATTTACCATACAACGTCAAGGATATTATGATTCCTCATTCGATCTCAAAAAAACACCATCCCAGTTGACAAGGCAAGATCGCGTCTCTGTCAAAAGCTCATGGCCAACAACCGTGTCCCCATCAACTACCAAACGCCTCCGTTCCCATCGCTCTATGATCCCTTTCCCCGTCGCAATGGCGTCGCTTACTACCTGTACTATACTCGCGACATCTGGCGCTTCACACTATACTGGACCTTGATTTTCTACGCAGCCAGCCACATATTGGTTGCCGCTTTTGCGCTACTGATGCAAGGCCGGAATTGGCGGATCTGCCTGGCCGTTCCGATCATTTATGTTGCCATCGCGGGCTTGGAGGCGCTGATGGCGGGAAGCATCATCGGTCTTCTGTAAGTCTTGGTTTCTTTGTCTGTGCTTCAGGACAAGGATATTAACCAGGTGACTAGTCTAGGCAGCGTCTACGAAGCTGGTAACTTTCGAATGTCAACCTGGATACCCATCATCTGGGGTGGGATTAATGTTTTGGTCTTGATACTGTCTAGTTTCCCTATGCAAGGGGGGCTATGAGTATTGTATGACAACGGACAAACGATCACAGCCTTGCCGCCAACAGTTCTTCCAGAAAACGCGCAATTTTCCAGGAATAAAAGCAACCACAGCTGGGGTCTGTACTATTGTATAGGCTTAAGATCCTTAAAATATCCGAGTTAAAATACATCCAGTGAAGAATCCGGTGCTCTTGAAATCCATGCAGAAAAGAAAAAGGAAATCCCGCAAACAAGCTACCTATATCTACGCCGATACCTCCAAACAAATTTTCAGTAAGATCGAACAGAAACTCGAAAGACATCACCTCCCATATCCATTATCCGGCATGCCACCACCCAACCCCGGAAGGCCCCCAGGGCCCATGGACGGAGGAATCGGGCCAAAGTTTGCGGGCGGGAAATTCTGGGGCAAAGAGACACCTTGAGACATCAGCTGCTTTTGTAGCTCGGCGACGTCGACATTCACAGGTGGCGTTCCCGGCATGGCGGGAGGCATACTGAACCCAGGCATTCCAGCGCCTGGTGGGAAATTGTTCGCTTGAGGTGGCTGTTGGGTAGAGAGCAGGGCGACCAGACGGCCAGGATCCATTTGAGGCATCCCGGCTGGCATTCCCTGCGGCGGCGGCGGTTGAGGAGCGCCAATTCCGGGCAACAACGGCGCGGGCCCGTTCTGCTGGGGCCCGCTGCCCGGAGGTGCGCTCTGTATGCCGGGCAGAAACGAGCCGGGAGGTTTCCTCTGATCGACCAAGCTTTCCGCCTCGTCTTGCAGTTCCTGCTCTTCCTCCTCCCGCATCTGTCGCTTTCCAAAGCCGCGGTTCCATGTGCCTTGAGCCTCCGCGGCGTCTTCTCCGATGTGGAACCTGTCCTTCATGTAGCTAGTCTCGCCAGGTCTATTCCGCGACCAGAACCGCGTGAAGTTATCTTTAGAACCGGACGCAAGGATATGTCCAAGCGGATGCCAGTCCAATGACCAAATAGTTGCGCCATGCGCATATTGGACCTTGTGGGCCGGGTGAATCACTTGCGCCGGTGTATTCGCGGGATCGGTGCTGTCGTACGGTGCGACCGTGGGCGCTTGTCCCGAGGGCATATTAGGCTCGTCAAGCAACCAATGGTACAGCGATCCGTCCTCGCTGCCCGTCGACACAAGCGTAGAGTGGATTGGATGCCATGTGAGAGACGAGACCGGCTTCTCATGGCCCCGAAGAATGCAGATGTCTCGCATCATACGTAGATCGAAGATCCTTGCCGTCTGGTCACGCGACGATGTTGCCAGAAGATTGCTGTTGACCGGCGAGAACCTCGTTGCGGTGACGGTATTCTTATGACTGTGCAGGGTGGTCAAGCATCTTGTCGTGCGGGGGTCCCAGAACTTGACCTGGTGATCTTTGGACCCCGAAACCAGCAATCCCTTGGTGGGATGCCAATCGCAGGACTTGACATCCCAGTTATGACCGGTAAGGACAGTGTCAGCCGTTCGAGAAGTAAAGTCGAAGATCTTCAGGGTTGTATCGTCGGACGCCGTCAGAAATTTGCTGTCGCTAGGGGACCATGCCAGGTCTCGAACCGCATCGTGGTGCGCATCGTCGATCGTTTCGACGTTGTTAAAGTTCGGTCGCCAGTATTTCACATCACCTTTCTGTCCTCCGGAAATCAGCCAATCATGGCTGTGCGACCATGACAAAGAAGTCACTCCCGCTTGTAGTTGATCGTAATGAGCCTATCTCGCGATCAGCATGACGGCGCTCCTCGTCGCCTATATTCACATGGAGAACGTACATCCATCACCGTCTCAAAGTTGAAAGCCGTCCCATTCCACAGCATAAACTCTCCAGTATGTCCACCAGTCAATAGACGCCTGCCTTCCGGGGTCCATCGCACGACTGTGATCGGTTTTTTCGACTTTCCGATAGATTGATGTAGATGGCGCACGGGAATAGTATCTGCGGGGGAATGAACGCGCGCTAATGGGGGGAGCATCTGAGGGTGAAGCCAGGCAGTTAGTCTTTGGTCAAGCAGCCGGTTCAACAGAACGCGGACAGAACGCGGTCTCAACTCACATCCACTACATAACTAGCACTCGGCCTTTCCACCTCCATCCGATGGCCTCCCTTGTATTGCGGTCGTCGTGTGTGCATCCATTGTACGAGCGAGGAGCTATAATCCGTGACCAGTCCTGGAAGAACCGTTAGCTCGTCATCGGCAGAAACCATAGGACGGCGGCGATTTCACATCCGCAAAAACAGAGAGAAAAACATACTTGGTCGTCGCGGGCCTGCCATTCCACCTTCGAAGGTCTTTTGAGACCTCGAATATGGCGGGGCATCACCGCCCGATTCATCGTAATAGGCCATCGCAACAAAGCCGGGTCTGTCGTATTCAAGTCACAAGGGAGGGAAGTAAGCTAACGGGGAGATCGGAGAGGTTTGCGATCATGACAGGGGAGATAGTGGCGAAGATGGTAGGCCGATGCGATACGCGTAAAATGGCTCAGAGTGTCGCTAAAACGGAGTGGACATGGCGTGCATGCAGGTCAAACAAAAGGAACTTAGCCCGGAGTACGGATGCTCTCATTGACTTTCTTTGAGGTCGGAAAGATTATGGAGCTGGGCCGGGCGGGCGGTCATCAGTTGCCCAATGATGCTTAGTGCCAAACGGCGCTCCTCAAACACCTTCCGGCTTCCACCCACTCAACCCCCCCCGGTCACTCTTGTCGCAAGGCCTTTGCTCCTTCGCCATTACAATGCGCTACGTGCCAACCCCGCCGTCGTTTGGTTGGCTTTTTATGCTATAATTACCTGCTCACTTCCCCCCTCCCCTTCCCCCTCTCTTCCCCTTTTCGTAATCTTTTCTTGTCATGAGTGCTCAGACCGAGGCCTGGCCCGAGGGATTCCTGTCCTATCTTCCGAGCTATCTCCGCAATTGAGTCGAGAATCAGCTACATCGTGAGCTTTCGCCTGGTGCTCGTGCGTGTTTTATTCCGCGCTACGGAGTGGATCTGCATTTACCATTGGTTTGAAAACGTCAGTCTTTAGGACGTACATGTACGACAATGAGTGAACTCAAGACGTCTACGCCCCCTCACGCCGACAATGCCTCGAGCAGTGGGGTTTCATACTCCAAACCCATGAACGGCACTTCTGTTCGTCCCGACACTTCTTCCACGACCCCTGAGAGCTCCAAGGGTAGTAAGGGAAAGAGAAGAAGTAAATACCGGCATGTCGCAGCGTATCATTCGGAGTTGCGACACTCCAGTCTGAGTCGCGATTCCGATGCCTCGACCAGCTTCCTAGGGTTCCGGAATCTCATGGTCATCGTTCTAGGTAGGAGATCTATCCCTGTCTTCCCGCACCCAAAACTTACACAGGCTCTTCTCAATCAGTGGCGATGAACCTTCGATTGATTATTGAAAACTTCATGAAAGTGAGTCTCCTGGAGGTCGGTTCGTGTAGTTCCAGGCTAATCCCGATCTCGAAATAGTACGGGGTTCTCATTTGTATCAAATGCCACGATTACCGAAAACAGGATGTCGTGCTGGGTACTATGCTCTTCTCTCTTGTCCCGTGCCAATTGTTCATCGCCTACATTCTTGAATTAGCTGCCGCTGGACGAGCTAAGCAGACCGTCGGACGAAAGAAGAAAGACGGGTCAACCGATGGAGACGAGCGGAACCAGCGCGCGTTTCGCACCATCTGGCGATTTGCATTGTTCTTCCATATCGTGAACGCCCTACTTAATCTCGCCGTGACCAGCTTTGTCGTCTACTACTACATCCATCATCCCGGAATCGGCACCGTCTGCGAAGTCCACGCGCTCATCGTTGCGCTCAAAAATTGGTCCTATGCCTTCACCAACCGCGACCTCCGCGAGGCGATGCTCCATCCGTCAGCGGAGTCGGCCATCCCCGAATTATACTCGTCCCTTCCCTATCCCAGGAACATCAGCCTGGGGAACCTGACCTACTTCTGGCTCGCGCCGACATTGGTCTACCAGCCGGTCTATCCCCGATCGCCGCGCATCCGCTGGTCCTTTGTCGCCAAACGTATGTTCGAATTCGTCGGTCTCTCCATGTTTATCTGGCTTCTCTCCGCTCAGTATGCCGCCCCGGTGCTCCGAAACTCGATTGAAAAGATCGCTGTGATGGATATCGCGTCAATTCTGGAGCGGGTAATGAAACTGTCTACAATCTCTCTCGTCATCTGGCTTGCCGGGTTCTTCGCCCTTTTCCAGTCGTTCTTGAATGCATTGGCCGAGATCATGCGATTTGGCGACCGCGAATTCTACACGGATTGGTGGAACAGCTCGAGTCTTGGTGCTTACTGGCGGTCGTGGAACCGGCCCGTGTATCTTTTCATGAAGCGGCATGTGTTTTCTCCCATGGTTGGAAGGGGGTACAGTCCCTTTGCGGCGAGTGTGGTTGTCTTTACGCTCTCCGCTCTTTTGCATGAACTACTTGTGGGCATACCCACCCACAATGTCATTGGTAAGTTAATCAAAAAAAGGGGGACTATCACATGTTACTATTACTAACCACGTCTAGGCGTCGCACTTGCCGGGATGTTGTTTCAGCTGCCGCTGATCGCCATCACCGCTCCAATGGAGAAGATGAAGGATCCACTGGGTAAGGTTATCGGGAACTCCATCTTCTGGGTGAGCTTCTGTCTTGTAGGGCAGCCTCTGGGGGCACTGCTGTACTTCTTTGCCTGGCAAGCGAAATACGGCAGTGTGAGTAGAATGTAATGGAGTTGTTTGAGGCATAGGTGTGACTGCCATCAAGGCACTATGTCTGGTGATTTTGCAGCATGTCTTTGGTCTCGAGTAAACAAGGAAGTCAGATGCTGTATGGGTGACCTGTTCGTTTCAACCTACCTCGTAGATATATACACGCATAGATTGGCAGATTCAATTGCAACGTGTTCTTTAACCTACAGATTCTATCAGATTCTTAAACATACCATTAGGCAGCACTGTACACGACGCATTAGAAACTCAACTCGAGGTGTTAGTCACATTTGATAATCGCAAGCACTGCAAAAAGCATCCCGGGCCGCGGGAAGGCTCCCTTCCGACTGGAAGTCCTTTCCCCGGATTCCGATAACCGTGACGTAAGCGGGAGCCTTGATATAAATTGCATTGATATTTTCTTTGCTCATACATTCCATATCTAAATCTATCTCAATTGCAATCGCAGTCAGCATACAATCCACCCACCGTCTTATATCTTCCACAGCGCTATCATAGCTTTCACAATGGTTACTACTCTGACCGTCCCCGACAACTATGGGTGAGCATGCCTCAATTGCACGAGCTTGAGTTCCCTTGCTGATAGAGTACAGCGCCGCCATTGCCGTTGCCCTCGGTGCCATCCCTATCATGGGCTTCGTTCACGGCAACGTGGTCACCAGCCTTCGGAAGCTGGCAAAGGTGCCGTACCCGCACACTTACGCGACCGTGGAGCAATGCAAGGAGAATGTAAGATCTGTCAAATCCATACTCTCTACAACTATATTTCCTATCACCCCTCAGCGCCCACCCCAGATAAACAAAAACAAACCACCAGAATACAACCCCTCCCCCACCAGACCAAACCAAACCAACATAGCTAACCTCCTCCCCCACCCACCAGCCCAAAGCCGAACAATTCAACTGCGCCCAACGCGCGCACTCGAATTTCCTAGAGAACGCAACGCAAGCCATGTTCTTCATCTTGGTCGCAGGACTGAAATACCCTCAGCTGTCGACGGCCCTGGGCGCCGCGTGGACGGTCTCCCGCGGACTCTTCCTCTACGGATACGTCTACTCGGGTAAACCGCAGGGTCAGGGACGGTACTTGGGGTCGTGGTTCTGGCCTTTGCAGGGCATTCTCTGGGGACTGACTGTTTTTGGAGTGGCGAAGGATTTGATTTCTTGGTAAACGTACCGGACTTTTAGGTAGAGTTTTAGATGTGGTCAATTGTAATGTACAGTATTACTTACCTATTGGGATGGCTGCTTCGGTTGCGATTAAAATGGTGGGTTGAGTATTGGGTGGGTTTGTTGATTGTTCGTAACTTCATAGATGGAGTGGCTCTTTAGTTACTCGGAGCGCTGTGAATCATACCTTACCTACTCTACAATCTACATAATTGTACTGTACATGGAGTTCCTCATACCTCGGGATAACCACGGCAGGCGCTGCCAGCTGTCATGTGCCCGGCAAGAACTCCAGTCATGTGACCAAAAGTATAAAAAACCACAGATTTCAGATGACTTTTTGGGTGTGGTTTTTTGAAAAATAACAGAGTTTGTATGGGCGCCACTGCTTGAACGTCTCTGGCTCGGTCAAAACGTCGATTCAGAGTAAATTAATTTAGATCCATAGAAACAAATCTACTGGCTATCTAGCGGTGTATTTATTTTCGAGTTATCGTCTTTTTTGCGGCTGTAGGAGACGATTGAAGATGCTACGGCCTGTTCTACTGCTTTTCCTGCGATCGAGGTCTTGCGGAGGTCGGTCCTGCTGAAGGCGGTCAGGCTGGCGTTGGCGGTCGATCAAGTGGCTGACCCACACTCGCCCGCTGTGGCTGGTGCCTTCCCCTCCATTGACGCTTGATATTTTTTTGCCGACGAGATACTCCGGACAATTCTGTAGCATTTCGACTTCTGTCTTGGTTTCTCTTATAAGATCGTATTGCTGATCTCAGAACCTATCACGGGAATAGCACGGAATCTAACATCCCAGTTATATCTAAACATCCTCATCTCCACACCCCGCATTACCCCTCCATCCGATATCGACATGTCTTCCAAGTCGCAATTGACCTACTCCGCGCGGGCTAGCAAGCACCCCAATGCGCTGGCCAAGAAGCTCTTCGAGGTCGCCGAGGCCAAGAAGTCCAACGTCACAGTGTCCGCCGACGTGACAACCACCAAGGAGTTGTTGGATCTGGCCGACCGTATGTCTCTCTGCTTTTGAAACACAGATCTCCTCATACTAACATATTTACGGAATAATAGGCCTCGGTCCCTACATCGCCGTCATTAAAACTCACATCGATATTCTCTCCGACTTCAGCGAAGAAACAATCACCGGCCTCAAGGCCCTCTCGGAGAAACACAACTTCCTGATCTTCGAAGACCGCAAATTCATCGACATCGGCAACACCGTCCAGAAACAGTACCACCGCGGAACCCTCCGCATCTCCGAATGGGCCCACATCATCAACTGCAGCATCCTGCCGGGCGAGGGCATCGTCGAGGCCCTGGCCCAGACCGCCGGCGCGTCGGACTTCCCCTACGCCTCCGAGGGCCGCGGGCTGCTCATCCTCGCTGAAATGACTTCCAAGGGATCCTTGGCGACGGGCGCCTACACTACCGCCTCGGTCGACTACGCGCGGAAGTACAAGGAGTTCGTGATGGGGTTCGTGTCGACGAGGGCGTTGGGCGAGGTGAAGTCGGAGAATAGCGGGCCGGTGGACGGTGAGGATTTCGTGGTCTTCACGACGGGCGTGAACCTTTCGTCGAAGGGGGATAAGCTGGGACAGCAGTATCAGACTCCTGAGTCGGCCGTTGGTCGGGGGGCGGATTTCATCATCGCGGGTCGGGGTATCTACGCGGCGGCGGATCCGGTCGAGGCGGCGAAGCGTTATCAGGAGGAGGGGTGGAAGGCGTACTTGGCGCGCGTTGGGGGAAATTAGTGGGGTTGGCTTGATATAAATAGTTTCGAGGTGATATGAAGTTCGGTAATTATCTGGATCAATCCCTCAGGCAATGAGTATGGTCTGATGAGCTCGGTTCGAGAGATAACAGCCGTGATGCAGAGCAACTAGTCTGGTCTGCATGAGATGATAACCATTTAGTCACTGATAAGATGATAACGAGATAACGATATCTTGAATATTTCGACCCCGGCAGGATGCGTCGGATATAGATCTGTCACCGAGTGATAGGTTGTTTCTCCATCGTTGAATAAATCAGACAGTCCACATAGTCCACTTGTCTTGGGATGTTGAACATTCTGTCTCCCGAGTCCTGATGTAACCAGACAAGCCTCCCCCGCAAAAGCCAACCGTCAGGCTGATCGACAGTCCAGGATCGCAAGCTCCCTTGGCATTGTCAAACCGAGGAGAAACCCGCACGAAGACTTGATAGGGAAAGAATCAGCTCGTCCTTCATTCGCCCCGTCGGCAAAAACCTACAGGGCCTAAATAAACTCCTGGGGTGGAGCAATGCTCCCACTCGGCACTTCATCTCCAATGGATAAGCCGCCGTGGCGTGGGCTTCTCCTCATCGCTTACTTTGGCCTCTTTCCCCTCACTCTGCTGCTGGCCCTGCCATCCTTGTCGCCGGCAGGATGGTGAATCGGTGACGCCTCAATTCGCGAGCATATTGGTCTCCGTCGATAAGCTTGCCTGCACTAGGGCCTTTAGTCCGTTCTACCCCAGATATCAGCTGCTTATCGGGCGGAGGCGTGTTCCTTCGCATGCGGACGAGGCCTGATCAGGTAGTTACGAGGAGTTAATTCCGCTATGATGCTATGCGGGTTGGGAGCGTATCTTTAAATCCTGACCAACTGCCCCTCAAGTTGGGATTTGCCGGCTCTTCCTGTCTTCGTCCCTTCCCTTCTGCCTTTCCGACATCATACCGCGCCGCGCCGACTGTGTTCTCTTTTCCTTCCTTTGTTCTTGATAACTACTAAACTCGCCGTCTAAGACTATGGCGGAAGAAAAAGCTACCCTGCCGACGTCTATGGACGTGGCGGCAGACATGAAGAAGATTGTCGACCCTTCACTGGAGAAGCATGCGCATGATGCCGACGAGGCGATGAAGGCTATCCAGGAGCTTCAAGGCGAATCGATCACTTTGGACGCGGAGACGAACAAACGGTTACTGCGGATTATTGACTGGCATATGATGCCCATCATGTGTTTTGTATATGGCATGAACTATCTGGATAGTGAGTTTTCTTGTCTTCTAGCGTGGGAGGTATTAACTGACCGGCGGTTTACCCGTACAGAGACAACGCTCTCCTATGCCAGCGTCATGGGCCTCAAGCCGGATCTGGGATTGGAAGGCGATCAGTACCAGTGGTTGGGCAGTTTGTTCTATTTCGGTTAGTTTTGGTGTAGTCAACGATGGATGAGCAGACGAGACTGACAGAAGAAACCAGGGTACCTGGCGTGGGAATACCCAACGAATCGACTGCTCCAGCTACTTCCGCTGGGGAAGTACTCGGCTGCGTGTATCATTATCTGGGGTTCGATTCTTTGCTGCTTTGCTGCGGTTCATAACTTTCCTGGAGCGGTTGCTATTCGGTGAGTTGGTTCGATAGTTGATTGTGGACTTCTTCTGACTAGATACTCCTAGCTTTTTTCTGGGTGTGTTTGAAGCTTCTGTTACTCCAGGGTTTGCTTTGTTGACGTCGCAGGTTTGTCTACCCTTAACCTATCATTCACCATCTCCCCTGATCATCCCCCACTAAAATATCTGCCAGTGGTATACCAAACAAGAACAAGGCAGTCGTGTCAACATATGGTTCAGTTTCAACGGCTGGGGGCAAATCCTAGGTGGCTTCGTGGCCTATGGCATTGCAGTCGGCACCGAGAGACACGGATCCGCCATCGAGCCATGGAAGATTGTCTTCCTCGTAACGGGTCTCCTCACGGTGGTCCTCGGAGTCGTCTTTTTCTGGATCGTCCCAGACAGCCAGCTGAACTGCCGCTGGCTCAAACAGGAGGATCGCGTTCTCGCCATCGCCCGCGTGCGCATCAACCAGCAGGGCATCGGCAACAAGCACTTTAAATTCTACCAGGTCAAAGAATCGATCCTGGATCCCATGACCTGGGCCTTCTTCTTCTTTGCCATCATCGCCAATATCCCCAACGGTGGGATCACCAATTTCTTTAACCAGCTGGTCAGTCAGCCTTGCCTTGTCTCAAACCCTCTTTATTTCTCTAAAATTGATGAAAACTAGATCACCAGCTTCGGCTATACCGAAAAACAAAGTCTCCTCTACGGCACCCCCGGTGGCGCCGTCGAGATCGTCGCCCTCCTTCTGAACGGCTACATCGGCCAGATTACCAACCAACGCATCCTCTGCAGCTTCGGCGGCATGATCACCGCCATTGTCGGAATGGTCCTCATCGTCGCTCTACCGTTAGATAACAATGTCGGTCGTCTGATCGGGTATTACATGACACAAGCCAGCCCTACACCGTTCGTTGCGCTTCTTTCGATGATCTCGTCCAATGTCGCGGGGTATACGAAGAAAACTACAGTCGCTGCGTTTTATCTTATTGGATATTGTGCGGGGAATATCATCGGTGCGTCTGTCCCTTTTTCTTCCTTATCCTCACCCCCGGCACTCCTCCCACTTCCATACCCTCTTATCGTAGGTCTTCTTATCTAACATGTCCCCCAATGCGTTGGGAGAATAAAACAGGCCCCCAAGTATTCCGCCCAGAAGACGCCCCGCGCTACGTCCCCGCCGAAATCACCATCATCGTCTGCTGGGGCGTTTGTCTCATCCTGCTCGGGTGTATCTGGTTGTGGTATAAGAAAGAGAATGAGCGGAAGGCTCGCGTCCGCGCGAGTCCGGAATATGTGAGATTGGAGAATCAGGAGTATGTTTTCCCTTCCTTGTTGCTTCCACTGGCCTTCTCCCTGTTCCTTTTTGTTGCTTGGTTCGGGCTTGTTACCTGGGACCTTCTGGGTCTGCAATGTCTTCATGCGTATATTTCTGGGTTTGAGTGCATGGGGGCTCACGATACAGATACTGACTGGTCGATTGTGATATTCTAGATGGCTCGACCTGACCGATCGCGAGAATAGCGAGTTTGTATATTCGTTGTGATTTGATTTAGGATATGTTGTATATGTTGGCGTCGTGATAATACTATTCTATATTGCCTATGATTTTCTATCCTCGCCACGAAGCTATAACCCACCCACCATCCACAGCACTGCATGTCTTGCTCCTGAAATGAACCGATATGAAATGAATGAATGAATTGAGACGAGACAGACGATATCAGTAGCATGAACAACCATCCACCCATCAGCCCACCACCCAACGTAGGAAAACATCACATTCCTCCTCCATCTAGCCTCCCCTCTCTACCCTACTCTACCCTACTCTGCTCTTCTTCTACGTATCCGTGTTCCCTTTCTACTGTATCACCTACACTCGAGCTCAGCTACGATAGATTTGAAGGAAAATGGAGTGACTCAGTGTCTAGTCTTGTACATGTCCTTTCATTCGTTGCCCTGCCATGCCTAGTTCTACCTTCCCATGCCCTCCAGGTCAGATCACCGTTCCTGTTCACCACAAAGCAGAAATGCCAAAGGAAAGGAAAGAACAGATTGTAAAGGAAACGGTTGACCGAGAACAGAAAGTAGACAGACAGTAGAAAGTTGACAAGCAATAGAAAACAGACAGAAAGGACAACAGAAGAAAGTACAGGAAAATACCTTCTCCATCCCTATCCCCATCCCATTCCCCTTTCCTACTCCCCAGCAAGCAAAAGTCAGCCAAAGTCCAACCCCAAATCAAGTCAAATCAGGGAAGACTCACCAGATTCTCTTCAGCTCATAACTGAAGTATGTTATCAGAGGACGTAACGAACAAGCTCATCACGGGGTCTGATAACCCAGGCCCGTTCCCAACCGCCCAACCTTGGGACCTGGAAATTGTGATTCTTGGTAGAAAGACAAACGTCAGTTTGGTGTGTCCGCGTATGCTGCCTCGAAGGGAGTCCGTGGCAGAAGCAGGGGAAAGAGGAATATGTGCAGTGTGTAAGGGGAAAGAAAAAACCCATCCGAAACCCGCCCTATTGTTTTTTCTGTGCAGTGAAAAGGGAAGAAAATAAAAGAAAGGAAAGGAAAGGAAAGAAATAAGAAATAAGTGCCCATCCGTAACCCGCCCAATGTTTTTTCTATGTTTTTTTTCCCCCTAGTTGCTCAATTGATCGAATGTGTGAAACAGGAAACAGACAGCAAGGAAGGAGGTAAGGCAAGACAGAAGACGGAAGAAAAAAAAGCAGGTGCTGGTAATGCGAACAGCAAGGAAAGAAGTAAGGCTAGGCAGCAGTAACTACAGAAGAACAGGAAGAAAGCAGAAAAAGGGAAATGTGCTAGCAATGCAAACAGAAAGGAAAAAAATAAGGCTAGGCAGCAGCAGCAGAAGAAGAAGAAACAGAGGAAGGGAAATGTGCTAGCAATGCAAACAGCAAGGAAAGGAATAAGACAAGTCAAGAAGAAAATAAAGTGCAAGTCAACCAAGCTGACAAGAGAGATGCATCCGGTTGCCCAAATGATCCTCTGTCGCTACTCTCCCTGCAGGTGCCTACAAGGGAGGGGAGTTGAAGGAGGCAAGAAGAAGAGGAGAAAGACGGGGGGAGAGAAGGGGAATTTATAGGGGAGAGAGCGACGCTAGCAGTAAGCGAGGAGTCATTCGGTGGCGAAAAGAGCATGAGAATTGTATACGAAATGGTGATGCTATAGTTTGAGATGACTGTAGTGAATGATGGTGGTGAATGGGAAGTTCCGTGGTTGGGGGTGAAGCGCTGGAAGGGAATGGGAGGGCGGATTGGGCGGATTGGAGGGAAGGGGAGCTTCCGGGAAGAGGCGTCTCGTTAGGTTAGCCTGGGAAATGGACTTGCTGGGTAGATTCACTTGATTCGAAGTTAATGTGTGGGGGGTGAGTCAAGGGATTAGCCGTGGTGACAGGATGCTGGAGCTCAAGGGGAGGGGAGCCTAGAGAAGGGGAGTCTGGAGAAGGGAAGTCTGGAGAAGGGAAGTCTGGAGAGAGAGAATCTCAAACTGCAGCAGACAGGTATGTGCTGAATATGACAGGAGACATCGAACAGAAACGCCTACTCTACAGTATTCTGATTTCTAGATGGAAGGTCTTCGACGCAGTGCAGCCTGGGTACAAAGGGGATGTATACTGTGACTCACTCCTTCCCAGACGCTCATATCATTCTTTCGCATCGTTCCAAAGAAGAAGCAAGTCGCATTTAGGGGGTGGGTGGTTGGCAAGCTTTCATCAATCTTTATATAGCATCTTCTGCGGTAAGCGTGTCGTCAGACTAAGGGTAGGGTAGCATGCAGGCAGGCAGCAGCGACAACCACCAGAACCTGCAGAATGCTACCCTGTCAGAACCCAGACCATCGTAGGAGTCATATCAATCCCATCACTACGCAATGGAATGTTTGCAGGGAAAATGGAGGTCTTGCTCTTGACCCTGTACAGGACCAGCTCATTAAGCTTTCTAGGGCTGACAGGGACCATAGTAAGATTAGCCCTACCATCCGTCTCTTGTCAACGCAGTGCCAGCAATCGCAGTCTCCGTCGACAACTCATCCCGCCCTAATAGCTGACAGTTCTCTGTATGCAAATCCATCTCGGCGGCCGACAGGGGTAGCTGCATGGACGTACAGACCCCAGTCCGATCAGCACGTGCCGAACGCCGAGCGAGACGCGCCTGAGGAATCCGACAGGGGAAGTACGTCATTCTCGCGTGGACCCCAGAATCTTGTCGTTGGACCGAGTGGGAACCATGGGAAAGGGAGCCTAGTTGGGCAATTATCATTTAGCATTGAGAATCATCATATGGGCAAATAATTGCGCTCTGTGAAATCCGACCCATTTGTTTTGCTGTCTCCTGAGATTCAAGAAAGAAAGCCGACCCGAAGCAGTTGTGTAATTCAGACCCGTCATACAGCATGGTGAGCATCTCCGAGCACGCCACCTGGCGTTCCCCAGTGTGGTGGTGACAGGTCCAGTGGATCTGTGGTGTAGCTCGTCGGCAGGTGAGCTCAGCTCCGGAGTAGTCAGGAGAGAGAGAAGAGCTCTCATCCACCCTCGTCATACTCCGTACAGAAAGAACTAAGCAGTTAAGCAGCCGCTAGACTCGGAAGTTACCGTTTCCCGCCAGAAAAGTGGCGGTCAGGCCGACCGTCCAGTCACGGGGCGACTGGCGGGGCGTGGGGGCCCCGATGGGCCTGACTTGCCAGATGGGTGCCTTAGGCAAGTAATCCTTCATTTTTCTCTCTGGTCTTCCTTTGCGTTTTCTCGAAGGTCCCAATCGCAGTTTGTCGCTATCCCCACCGAGTGAATTTCAGAAACGGAGGGTCGGTTTCTTCCTGCCTCAGGCATCCAAGGGGCCTGACCGGCTGCAGGCACGGGCGATCTAGACTCCCCTCCATGCAGGGGCAGCAGGACGGTTCTCTGTTCACTGTTCACTGTACCTGACGTAGGTCAGCGGAGGAAGAACCGGTTTGACGACCTCGTTCCCAGTCCCGGGCAACTTCCCTCGATTGTCTCGGGCGAATGCGGGGGGTCGAATTTGGCATGTTGGTCAATCCCTGCTGAATCGGTCCAGACCAAGCCGGAGGGCCTTTCTATCTGGACCTCCACCCTCTGTCGGTGTAGAACGCTAAATGCCTAGATCACCGCTAAATCGACAAGAAAACTCAACTAAAGTGCCAGTCTACACAGTAGTCTTACAGAGTAAAACTAGTTTCTTCAAGTGGAAGGTTCCCACCGCCTGTCGGTGAGACGCAGGATCGATTATCACACCATCCCTTGGCCATTTTAAAAGGCATGTCCGATGCCCTCCAGACTCGTCCACCTGACCGGTCACTTGTGCTTTTGTCTCTCGTTCCCTTGCCTCGTCTTTCTTTTCTTTTCTTTTTCTTCTTCTTCGCTTTCCTTATGTCCACTTAAAACACCTCGTCTTTGAAGATCCTTCCCCACCATTTACAAAGAATCAATCACCGTCCTCATTTCCTTGTCTATACTCCGTGCTGGGGGCCGACTGCCTCCTCCCCTCTTCGGAAACCCTAATCTTATCGATCGTATTCATTTAAACCCCCTCTGCTCCCCTCCTTCGACTCTCCTACAGATTATTGATCATCGCTATCCTTACCGTTATTGTTAATATTGTTATTGACTATTCATATCCCGCCCGCTGTCCCTCCTAGTCGGCTGATCTCCGCCAATTATTCGCTCTCCTGACCGGCTGCGCTGTCTTCAGGCATTCGAGCATGTGAATGCTGGGATCCGAGTGAATCATTCCTCTGTTCAGTCTCCCTCCTGATGGCTGCTGCCTCCACATGCTCCGGCCATTCTCTTCACGGCGCCTACTGTGACAATGCTCCACCTCAGGGGGCTCATATTAATAGCAGCCATAACCGCCCGCTGCGTATAGTTCCTCCCACTACCCTTGCATCGTCTCCACCCAGGACAACTACAAATCCCGGAGATGCCTCGTCGGCCACCCTCTCTGCCATCGAAGTCGAACTTGCTTCACAATCCATCTCGGCCCTGAACATCATGGGTGTCAAAGATACCATGCTGCATGTCACCGAACTTCCTATGGAGACCACCCCGGACCTCGCTGTCATCGAGCAGCCCTCGTCTCCCAAAATGGAGACCGTGGAGGAAGTGCCGTCCATCGAACCAGAAGCGCCAGCAGCCACTTCCTCGCCGGCGTCTACCAAACATCGCACCCCGAAGCGCAAGCGAACCGCCTCACCTCCTTCGCCTGCCTCGACCAACCCCTCCCAACATGTCCGTTCCGCCTCGCGCAGCACTCGACGCTCTGCTCCGCCCAGCAGTCGTCCGGGCTCTCTCCATTCGCACCGCCGCACGGTGACGACCTCCTCTCTCACTTCGTCCTCGCATCCTAGTCCCAGCGACCCCGAAACCCGACGCCAGAACCTCCTCGCCCTGCACCGCGAGTCTTGTCGCCTCTTCCAGAACAACGGTCGAGTCAGAGACAGCGAGGGCAGCACCCCGTCGCCATCCTCCTCAACCGCAACCACACATACGCCACCACGTACCGTCCGCGCCTACTCAGACCTCAGCACGCCGCCTCTCTCTCCAATCCTCGACTCCATGTCCAGCACCTCTCAACAACGACCGCCCTTCCCCCCGCCCCTCCGCACTTGCTCCGCCTTCACCCCAGCCGACTCGGACCCCATCTCCCCGGTCCCTATCCACCCCTCCGCCACCGTCATCGACTGGACATCCCCCTCGACCCGCCGCCGCGAGTACAAGAAGATCGACCGCGCCAGCAGCGGCGTGCGCGGGTTTTGGCGCCGCGTTGCGCCGCGCTGGGCCCGGTTCGGCGACGACCGCACTCCATTCTTCGAGGAGGGGAAAGACGGCAAGGGGAACTACGAGGGCAGCGTGCGTCGCTTCCGGATGGATTTACCGGATGAAGGCCCGACTCGCTCGGAGAGGGCGGTCGGATTGAAACTGAAGAGGAAACTGGTTGGTGGGAGGATGGGGCGGTCGAGGAGTGATTCTGCTTGATTTGAGTCTGACTCGTCTATCGCAGTCTGGGAGAATATGAGAGAGCAGAGCTATTCGGCGCCGGCGAGGATAGCTTATCAAGAAGAGGAACGCTCTATGAAGGAGATAACCAACGAAGCCTGGGGCTTCCAGACGGTCTTTCCCGGCAGACAGATATGGATGACTGCTTCTGCTAGACAGACACAGCTGGCTGATAATTGATGGAGGGGATGGATGGGATGTGTTTCGTGTGTTGAGCACACCACCACCGACCTACCCAAAGAGAGGGGTTTGCAAATATACAAACCTCGTGGACGAAACAGAGAAAGTGGACGAAGTGACTAACCGGCTGGCTGGGCTTTCGTTTATTGGGTTGGTTTAGTGATTAAAATTATGATACCCCTTGAGAATTGCAATAGACTGACCTTCTTTTGACTTGTGAATTTCCATGAACTAGAAAACGAACATGCATGTGTAGGGTAATACAAAATAGTATAAAGTGTATTCTAACCTCATCATATGAAGATTGACAATGGCCAAGTACGCAATGCGCAATGAAGATAGAATAAATAAACTCTTCTCCTCAATCTATCTATACTGAACATAAAACCCTCAAGGCAAATGAAATGAACAAAACGCCGACATCATCATGTACAGAACCAAACCCAGCAAATGAATATAAATCTGAAAGATAGGGTATATCATCTCGAAACAACTTCCCCATATCCACTTCACACCACCACCACCACCGATATAAAATAAACCGCAAGTCTAAACAAATGCCAACCGAAACTAGGCCCTGACATAGAGACAAGCGAGAACAAACCAAGCAACCTCAAAGCATCTCAAAATACCGAGTCCAGTGCAGTAACCTAACAAGGAGAGGTAACGACGAAGTCAAGACAATCACAACATATCGAAATCATCCAACTTGTCCCGATACTGCATGATGTTCCGCTTGATCTTGCTGCTATCCACCCAGGTGACATAGTCCTCCATGTTCCGGGTGACCAGGAACGCCGGGTCATTAACGACCTCCGTGCCGACGCGCACATGGCCTTGTTCGATGAATGTGACGGCCTAGACTTTATGTTAGTTTTCAACTTGGTCACCCCATATCTCTTATCCTTATCCATCTCAACTTCAACTTGAAAGGAAAGGGAAGAGGAGAGATAGTGAGCCCGCGCTCGCTCGCTCACGATAGATCCAGATCCAGATCCAGAGCTCGGCTCATGCAAAGAGTAAAGGGAAGAAAAGGAAACGCACCGTCTTAATATTCTCCACCATTCCATTCCTCGCCATGATCACACCCAACCGTCTCCTACAAAACGCCGAAACGGTGACCTCCCTCTCGACTCTCGACAACCCGGCCCCCTGCTCCCGACTCTGTTTCAAGATGCCCATGCGCCACAACTTATCCAACATGTCGGCTTCGATCTTCTTGCGGATCGGATCGGAGCTCGGGTCCAGCTGCGAGAGCTTGTGGGCGAGTTGGCGCAGGGAACCGCAGATGGAGTTGTATTTCTTGTAGTCGAGGGGGTGTTGGAGGTAGTAGCGGGCGCGGACGGACGTTTCGCGGTGGTCGTTGTCGGATTTGTAGGTTTCGAAGTTGTGCTTGCGGAGAAGCCTGAGGGTTTTTAGTTAGAAGAGTTGGGTTTGGGGGGTTGAAGGCAGGGAGGGGATCCTGGGAGAGGAGAGGATTGAGGGAAGGGGAGTTACTTTTTCTCGTGATGCTTAAGTTGTCGGACCATTTTGGCGGTGTTGAGAGGGTTATTTCTGCGCTGTACTCGACTCGATGGATGAGGATGGAGATATGAAAATGAAGATAAAATTGCGATGGGCGGTGGGTCGGGGACTGGTATTCTGCCGTGTTTATTGGCTTGGCGAGAGGGCGGTGTATACGGACATACGATCTAGGTTGGGGATCCTGATGGTTGTTTCTGCTTCTATAACTGCTTGGTCTGGGCTGGTAGGTCTGTAATTTACTGAGAGTGTCTAGTGCCCTGAATATAATGTGATGAGCAGAACACAAACATGTTTCAAAAACTAGCTTATGTCTACTCTATACTATGTACGTACTCCGTACTCCGCGGATCTACGCACGTGACCGGAAAAACCCACCTCCGTAGGCCACCTATGCGAGACGCATCGTTTACTTATCCAGACCGAATATACTACCGGCCTGAACCGGCAAACACCTATTCTCCGGCAGCTTCCTTACACCACTTGAGATCTTGGCTGATCTCAAGTCTCTCGAATGTGCTCGTCTTGACTTCGATAGCTGCCATAAAAATCGGTCTCTGTGTTATATAGGACGTTTGCGACTTGCGCGATCGTCATAGCACAACTACCTACCGATCTACCATTCCTCGTTTCTTGTTCATCGTTGAATACCTTCAATTAAGAACCGAATATTATCTCTGACTGAAATTGGAAATCCGCGACAGCTGCATGGTCCGCAGCTTATACCCTCACAATGCGTCTTCTCTGTCTTTTTCTCGTCCTCGCAGTATGTCTGCTACAGGTCCTCGCGGCCGAGGACTACTACAAGATCCTGGGGTTGGATAAATCCGCCTCCGAAAGGGACATCAAGCGGGCATATCGCACGCTGAGCAAGAAGTACCACCCGGATAAAAACCCGTACGTCTCAATTCCATCCAACCTAGATAGACAGGAGGGAAGCCAGGTTTAGATTGCAGGGCGACTGACGTGAATCCAAACAACAGAGGAGATGAAACGGCCCGCGAAAAATTCGTCGAAATCGCCGACGCCTACGACGTGCTCTCTACCTCCACGACGCGCAAGATCTACGACCAATACGGCCACGAAGGCGTCGAGCAGCACCGCTCCGGCGGCACGGCCGGCCGACAAGCGAACGACCCGTTCGACCTCTTCTCACGCTTCTTCGGCGGCGGCGGACACTTCGGCCACGCGCCGGGTCACCGTCGCGGCCCGGACATGGAGTTCCGCGTGGGCCTGCCCCTGCGCGACTTCTACAACGGGCGCGAGGTCGAGATAGTGCTCGAGAAGCAGCAGATCTGCGACGCCTGCGAGGGCACAGGCTCCGCAGACAAGGAGGTCATCACGTGCGACAAGTGTTCCGGGCGAGGTGCGTTCATCCAGAAACACATGCTCGCGCCGGGCATGTTCCAGCAGGTGCAGATGCAGTGCGACAAGTGCGGCGGGCAGGGGAAGATGGTGAAGAAGCCGTGCGGTGTGTGCGGGGGCCACCGGGTCGTGCGGCGCGACGTCGAGACCGCCTTCACCGTCGAGCCGGGCATGGATAAGGGGCAGAAGATCGTGTTCGAGAACGAGGCTGATGAGAGCCCCGACTGGATCGCCGGCGACCTGGTGCTGGTGCTGGAGGAGCGGGAGCCCGAGCTCGGCAAGTCCGAGGACCAGCGCACCGACGGCACCTTTTTCCGGCGCAAGGGTCGCGATCTGTTCTGGAAAGAGGCCCTCTCGTTGCGCGAGGCCTGGATGGGCGAGTGGTCGCGCAACATCACGCATCTGGACGGTCATGTCGTGCACCTCTCCCGTCCTCGCGGCCAAGTCGTTCAGCCGCTCTCGGTCGAAACTGTCGTGGGACAGGGCATGCCGCCGTACTCGGAGGGTCATCTCCACGACCAGTCCGACGAGGATGATGACGTCCCGGGTAATCTCTACGTCGAGTACTCGGTCATCCTGCCAGACCAGATGGAATCAGGCATGGAGAAGGAGTTCTTTGCTCTGTGGCAGAAATGGAGGAAGAAGATTGGAGTCGATCTCGCGGCGGATGGGAACCGGCCTGCACATGCACATGCACACGCCGAGAAGGACGAGTTATGATCTTTTAATCACATTTGAATATAGATAGTTAGAATCGACTTACTTTCTTCGTCCTCGATGTCTTTTTGAGCTGAGTTGATCCAGTCTGAAGTGGTCAGTTAATTTCGACCGCAAAAGTAAATACTTAAGCACCTTGAGGACAGCACCGAGGACCCGGATCGAAGAAGAGACTGGCACTGCATTTATCCTTCAATGCTTACGCCTCCTACCATCGAATCATCGTGTACTGATCCGGAGGTTCTGGCTCTGTAGATTGAACCGAGGAACTGGTCTATCACCTAGCTAGCGCCGTCGTTTCTCGCTCGCGAACTTACTTTACTTTATCGCAACAACGTCCGTCTCGGTGTTTGTTGGCAGGAGCAGCCAGCCAGCGTATTATAGTGAGTGATTTATGCACAAACAGCCCCAAGGAGCTTCCCATGGCCCTCCCCTCAAAGTAACCCGCACTCACAAGAGCAAAATCGCTAGAGGATATAGGTAGTCTGCTTTATTCCTATCTATCCTCTTTTCATTAATTTTTGATAACTAGGTAGAGAAGGGACTATCTAAGGCGGGCTGGATCAAGGTAGAAGAAGCAAGGAATAAAATAGAGTAGATAGATGTGTTATCAATATGCTTCAATATTCAGTAGCATTATCTCGACTGGAAGAAACAAGGTAGAGAGAAAGTAGAACAGCAAGATATAGTTCGATTGACGGTTTATAACTTGATGAAACAAGATGGTGTTCAGCATAATAGAAAGAGCAGAGCAGAGCATGTCACATTCATTAATTAAGTGTTTAATATCCAATCCAGTCCAGTCCAGCCCAAACACAGAGGCGAGGAAATAAAAACAAGATGCAAAAGATAGAGTTTCATATCATCATATCATGTCAGATCAGATCAAATTAGAAATATGTCAATAGAGAACACAAGCCTAAAGACACTTCCAGCCTATCCCAATCAGATTCAACCTCTCGGAACATCAAAGATATCATTCCGCCACGTCCGTCCTAATCGCTGACTTTCGTCCCCGTCTTCAATCGCCTCCTGTGCCCGGAGCGCTTCCTCATGCCAGACCTTCGCCAGACTCCCGGGGGTATAAACGCCCTTGAAGACGCCGCGTCCCGGTGCGTCCAGAGCGATACGAGTCTCGACGTCCGACACGGGCTTCAAACGCGCGAGAATTGCCCGCACCAGACTGGCCAGGTCGCGGGGGTTGGCGATCTGGGCGGCGCGCAGGCGTTCTCGGGCGAAGACCAGCTCGCGGTTCAGGGCGAACGCAGCCTGGACGATCTGCTCGGCGATCTTCTTCTCCAGGACCCGTCGGAACATGTGTTTGAGGAAGGGCTTGGTCAGCCAGAGGAGGAAGCGCCATCGGCTGCGGTGGACCGTGTAGTTCAGCTTGTGGATAA